GCATGGTGACTCCAACTTCTATACTGCCAGACCATTTGTGCACGAGTCGATCAATTCTTACCTGCAATTATTCGCTTTGTTACAAGGTTTATCATATAAAAATTATTCGTTTCTTATTTTCATTTACCCACCTCGAACAATTCATTGTCCCTTAATGGCCTGTGAGTCATTACCACTCCATTATTAAATTCATCTAAAGGTCTCATCCTTTCGGCAGTTCTGGCATTGTTGGACAATTTGACCAGCGTGCCAACTCTCTCGTGAAACCTCAGTCTATCTTCTCTAATAGCCGCGAGACTTGGATTCTTAGGTAAATTAACATTAACATTTACGTTTAAATTAACATTCAAATTAGCGACTAGATTAGTTGTGGAGGAATTAGATGTTTCCCCAAGAGCATAGTCATTATTAATTTCAACTTCATCCTTTGGCTTGTTACACGAGATGGAGGCAATCTGTGAATGAGTTATGGATACTTGCACACAAGCACCATAAATATCTACAACTGCAAAAATCCGTTCCGGTATATTGGATACTGCCACACCTTGGGAAACTCCATTGATATAGAATATTAGCTCATGCTAGAAAAAGGAAGAAGATAGATTATTAAAATAAATTGTTAAAGTAGAAAATAATCTTACATCCATAGAAAACTTACATTGGATGTCCTCAATACACCCAAAGTACTTTCTTCTTCCAAAGAGTCCAAGTTTGTTCCATACTTTTCAACTATTCTTACTCCATCATGAACTATATCAGAGGTGGACATAATCCATGTTCCTTGGCAGAGGTTGGTGGCACAGGCTGGCAGTTCTATAATCTCTGGATCACACTCTGTTATTCCGATCTGTATACTACCGCTCCATGATATCATCTGTGCAAAGAGAAATAATGTTACTACAATATAGCAAACCTTTATCTTACACAGTTAATTAATTTCTCAGAACTGCTGAACATGCTCCAACTCCCAAGCCACAAAAACCAATGTTAGGAAAACTTCCTCTTTCTTCATTCTCTGGTTTGTCAAGGCTAAGCAATTGGAGCTTCCCATTCAACTATAATCTTACGCGTTTTAAGGATGTTTATTCTTACGTTTTTAATATCGAATGAAGCTATAATAAACAATAGAATACTAATCCGTATTCGACAACAGGTCGCGTGATAGTTCTCTTTTATAAATAAAACAAGTGATCGAATTACACATCGTGATAAACAGTGAACCAAAAACTTTAAAGCACCGTTGTAAACAATGTTTTGACAGATAAAAGAACCCTGTAGTGGAACATCGTTGAAAAGGATTTGTTTGGTGGTTTAATTGGAGTACCTTCTTGTCGATGCGAACTTCGAAGAGCTCGTCATCCTTGAGCGGCTCCGCACTGAAAACCAATCCGTTATTGTAGTCGGAATGATCTCGTATGGCTGTGCAATTGTTGTTTGTTAAAGTGATATGATGACTGCATCGTTGATGAAACATGTCGACCATTTGTTGTGCACCGACCGTCGCATGTAACCAAACCATCCATCTCCCTTCTCCCTTTCCTTATCTATCGTCTCTCTTCACCCACTGTCATGTACGTACTTTTTGTCTCGCTCTATCGCTCTTTTCCACTTCTATGAACACAGAGCCACGAACGATGAAATGATTATAGACCGAGACGCTTTAATTCTTGAAGGAGAAAATCACCATTGATCAGTACTGGACAATCGCTTCCACAGAGTACATACTCTGTACCCTTATAGAGCTGAAACTCTGTTTCCATAAAGGAGAATTTGGTGCATCCATAAAGCAGTGATGGACAAAACCCTAGACTTCGAATAAATCTGAAGTGTGCCGATATGTTTCTCTCGTTTCCTCTTTTGAACATTTTTCAAAGAAGGAAACGAGACAAACATATCGGCAAACTTCAAATTTATTCGAAGCCTAGGCTTTTGCCCATCACTGTTCTATATGGTCGATGCGTACATAGCATGTGTTTGAAAATTGCGCGTTCATATCATGTGTTTGAAAATTGCGCGTGCGCAGAACGATAACCTACAATATCTCACATAACCTCCATGCGGCTTCAAGCTGATTGAACGACAGGAATCATGTCAAGTTTACTAAATAAATCATTTCTGTTGTTACATAGGTATTCGAAACAGACATTTAAGAACGTAAGTATGCCATTAATGATCATTCATGACATGTAGCTTTTTCTTTATTAGTGAAGCAATCGTAAACCCATAATGTACAGTGAGTCATTAGTACTCGAATATTATAATATTACTCTGTTACTTTATAACTTTGTTTATGTTAAACTATAAAGTAGTTGAAGTATATACTGCATTCTTTTAAATTTGATTACAGTTGCCACCTGAGAGTTTGCAATGTTTCAAACAATATTATCCACAAGTTCGATATATAAGTAACCGTAGAATTTTGTGTCAGAATGATCAAATAAACACATTGCCAAAGAAGAAAGATGACATCTCACTTTCGAGAAAGTCACCCATTACATGGAAGAACTTGACAATTACAAGTTTGGTTGGAGGAAGTCTCGTATTATACTTGTATTATTTACAAAAGCAAAAAGACGCACAATTAGCCAAGGAAAGGAGGCGTGAGATAGGAAAAGCAGCACTTGGAGGAAAATTTGAATTAGTTGATTCTAAAGGGAAATTAGTGAAGTCTGATGACTTCTTAGGGCAGTGGTTGCTAATTTATTTTGGATTCACCCACTGCCCTGATGTATGCCCAGATGAACTTGAAAAACTGTCTGCAATTGTTGATAAACTTGGTATGTCTTGAACAATGATCAAAGTATGCAATACAAAGTTTGAATGTTTGCTCCCTTTAGTCTGTACAAACTTTAATCATGCTGTAATGTAACGTATATTAATGTAAAGCCTTATTTTAGAAAAGGAATATAGTCTGAAAGTACAGCCTATATTCATTTCTGTGGATCCTGACCGAGATAGTCCAGAAATTGTAGGAAAATATATCAAAGAATTTTCTGATAAATTTATTGGCCTTACGGGGACAAAAGAACAGATCGCTAATGTGTGCAAGGCCTATAGGGTGTATTACACCAATGGACCCAAGGATCAAGACTCTGATTACATTGTTAGCAATGCTTCTATACAATTTAAGCTTTACTGTTCGTATAAATATTCTCATAACTCTATTTTATTTCAGGTTGACCACACAATCATAATATACTTAGTAGATCCAGATGGTTTATTTGTAGACTATTATGGACAAACACATACCGCTGAGCAAATTAGTCACAGTGTTTATCTAAATAAAACCAAATTCGATGTAGGGAAGAACGACTCTTGGCTTCCGTCGCTACCATTTAAAAACACATTGCAAGCAACGTGAATTATTTATATTGTATGCATTTCTATATAGAGAAACAATTTTTTAATATATATTTATAGGATTATTAAAGAAAACTTGTCATGTTGAATGGAATTGTTAATTTTTATTGATCATTAAGTTCATGTACATTTAATTGTCCATAACGATAATGAAAAAATATAATTAAACTATCAAACGCATAAATCCTTATAAATCCTATTATATAATTAAATTATATATTTATACTTATTATTGTATAATAGAAAAATTAAGAAATATTTTTACACATACAATTCTTACTAAACAATATATCCCTAGATAAGAAGAAATTGTATGTGTCTTACAGTATTATTTATGCCCTCTAGTGTATTGCATTGACACTGACGTCTTCACGTACATATACAATCTCTTCTGCAACATTGTTTACTTCATGTTATTGCTGTTATTGTTTTTTTAACAAGAAAAAGATTACAAGGATTCTGTTAAAACTATTATTGTATTTTACTATAATTCTTAACGAATCGTAGTGTTTTCAGTGTTTAGAGGTTAGAATTTGTCAGTGACAATTCAAATTTTGAAGGTTTCGAAGGGTTATCGTTCAACAAATTTATTAATATTATTGTAAAAGAAGTTAAGTTGAAATGGCGGAAGATTACGGAAGAGAAACACCACCGATGTATACAGCAAATGAAGAGACAAAAACAGCTGGCCAGCCTCTTTCGGATTTTTTATTACAGCTTGAAGATTATACACCCACGGTAGTTGTACAAAATATTATCATTATTGCTATTTATTTAATTCTTAGATGAAACATTAAATGGTCTTGTTCTTGCAGGTACCCGATGCAATCAGTGAACACTACTTACACACAGCTGGTTTCAACACAACAGATCCCAGAATGTAAGACTGAACAACAAGTTTTAAAGACCATTAGAAAGTTTCAACTCTGTGTTTTTTTTTTTGTAACAATATCTTTATTAATTATAGAGTACGTTTGGTGTCTCTAGCGGCACAGAAATTCATATCTGAAATAGCAAATGATGCTCTGCAGCATTGCAAGACTCGTGGAGCAAACCAGAACACAAAAACAAAGGGGAAGGATCGACGTTACACATTGACCATGGAAGATCTCACGCCTGCAGTAGCTGAATACGGCATCATTGTCAAAAAACCACATTATTTTGTTTAGTTTTAAAGTTTCATGTCTCCTTTAATTTTATTTGCTGCTTTGGTATCCCTTTACCTATATACAAAGTAGACTCTGGAAGCATCATTGTAAGTTTGCGTATTAATATAAAAAACATATTTACAAAAGTGTAAAGTTGATGTAGCTTAAAGTATGTATATGATAGATCCCATAAGATTACAAAGACTCATATACATTACGTTCCACTCTAGAAACCCTTCTATAATTTTCAAATATGTGACGCGCATGTTTTAGCAATCATTTTATAGCGAATTCTGTGTATCATAATTGAAAGTTTCATTTATTCATAAAAATAAAAATACAATTTCCCTGATTTTTATCGTGGTGGTCGTACTATAGGGCACTATAGAGTATAAAGATAAATAATAATAATAATATAGAGAATAAAGATAAATTTCCTCAGCTGATAGATATAGAAACGATGTTTTTCTAGTGACTTTCGATCACTCAGGTGTACCAGTAATCCGCGCATGCGTTTTATTCTTTAAAAAACCATCAGCCATATTGGTGTGTTGTATTGCTGTCCTCAGTAATTTCGAAGATCAGTGAGGTATTTCTCCGGTTTGTCGGTCAATTTCTGCTCTTATCCGTTGCTCTGCGAACGATCGGGAATGCCCATCCAGTATTTGCCTTAGAAAGCTCCTTATTCGCCGACGTTCATGACGTTCGTAAACGAAAAAAAGTTTGGTTAATGTTGCCACCTGGGCTCACGGAAATTGATCTGTTTAGGAAGATGTATAAATAAATGCGTACTATCTTCGTTTAACTGAATGCGCGACGAACTTTAACACTTTCCTCTGCGTTTTTCTCACCCCGTGGTATTATCACTGGTGCTGATTGATCTTCAAAAGAATTCACAGCTTTCTGATGAGTACTTTGCTCAATAGTGTTCTACTATTGAACTACTCTTTGCTTCCTTCTCTTTCACGTATTTTGGCTGCCATTTGAAAATAACACACCATTGGCAATGTCTGGGCTTGTTGGACATGGTTTGCTCGATTTTTGCAGAGCAACAGGTAAAAGTCATCGACACGATTATTATATGGTGTACCAACCAACTTCATCTCGCACATTGTGGTTACTGTCATGCAACTCTAGAAGACAAAGGGCAGTCTGTGAAATGATCAGAATCATTGAAATTCCTTTTACCAGTATCTTATCTTCTTCAAACAGACAAATACTGAATCTCTTAATCATTGATTTTATTTTCCTTGGCTAACTTTTGAAGCAGTTCGATAGATTGCTTTATTGTCCTTTTCCTTCTTTCAATTTGAAACAATTTGTGCAACTTTTATTTCATATACAATAATAAACGTTTATGTAACAAAATTATATCTTTTTCAGCAAATAGCCTGTCATGACGGATTCCATGAAATTTGGTCCAGAATGGTTAGTACTATTTAAATGATGCTATTATAAGGTATCATGTATGTAGTATTCATAGAATTTAACATTTTATAACTGATATACAGGTTGCGCAATCTGTCTGGAGACAGTTGCAATAATAGTGGAGGCGGTGGAGGTACTACAAGTTTAACTACTCCGCGTTATCATTTAGCGAAACATAGATACGGACGAGAAGAAATGTTGATTCTGTTTGACCGTAATTGCAAGCCCCCCGAGCCATTGACAAATTTCTCTACATTATATGTTGAGAAAACCCAGCTTCCCTTGGCTCTTGTACAGATGACAGAAGACGAAACGGTAATTAGTTAAATAAATTGTTATACAGATAATGGTAATTATATTCTATAAGATGAAGTAATTTAACTGGAAATACAAAAATATACAAGAAAAGTGTTGAAAGAAAATGCATATTTTGAAATTCCAAACAAGAGGAGAAAATATTTGTTTAATTATGTTTGCTCCTTGAAACAGTTCCATGTTCTTTAAACAGTTTTTTCTATATGTCTATAAGCAACAAGGTGTTTCCATTTAAGTGATCCACCCTGTATATTGAGAACTGTTTTGTGAAGTCAGTTTAGATCTAAAAATATAACACACTGGAGCCCTTGTGCTAGTTCTTCATAGCACCATCCTATCTACTCTTCTCTACTTTACATAATCATTGCTATTTTGTTGTCACTCTATGTATACTATATGTTATGTTTACCACATATTTGTTACAAATTTAAGAATTTGTGTAAACTTTTGTATAATGTTTAATTAGTGTATACTTGATAATAACACAAATTATTCACTTAACTTTTGCAGCGAATGTGGAATGTAGGGATAACTAATGTTGGTGCTCGTGGAAGAGGCGGAAGTGTCGATCGCGGGGGGCGTGGGAGGAATGGAAGAGGTAGCTTGTATTCTTCTCATTATTCGCGTGGAGTAGGTTTTGACGATTCAGGAGATGGAACTCGAATCGACAGTCAAGCGTTTCAAGTATGTAACTTATTTTATTTGAAAAAAAAAAAAGACTGAAACATGGAACTCACAAATACTTATTTTTAATTTATCTGTGAATATATATCATCTCCAGGGAAGAAACCGCCAATTCGATAGATCTCAAAGCGAGCGTGGGTGGTCGGAAAGAAATGGAGCTTCAGATCCAGGCGAGTGGAACGGTTCGACTAGTCCTAGAAAAGAATTAAGTCGCGGGGCTAGTGGCAGTTCCCTCATGGAAGGGAATTGGCGGCGCCACCGCGGTGGTACAGAAGATGATGACGGCTGGCGAAAATGGGGTAAATTTTCTGTAATAAATTATCGAAGTATTCGATTCAATAATAACTGTATTATCATTAAAACGTATGATATCTTGCAGGTAGAAGCAGCTGGCGCGAAGGTGGGAGTATGGATAGAGATAGATTAGATAGAAACGAAGGAGACGGGGAGGAAGGTCGGAGCGGTAGTGGGAGATGGGAACATCGTGGAAATCACAGAGTCCCTCACGATTCGAGTCACCACCCACCTCAACGTGTCGCGCGTACCTGGGAGTCGAATCATCATGACAATAATCATAACAACCTTCCTGAATGGTACATTTTAAAAATCTTTTAAACGCTTATATTATATTGTAATTACAAGCTCACAAGTACGGGATTTATACTTTCTATTAAAATTAATTCCAGGGCCACCGAGAATCCTAGTGAAAGCGGAGGCAGTTTTGATGCTTCTGGTGCATTCCATGGTGGAATGTATTCGGACGACGACGAAGACGGGGTAATTAGTGCAGGTGGTACTCAGGAATCGAGAACTCAACGTGTTTCCGAAGGAAATGCCGCCAATACAACGAAATCTGGTGGAGGCAAGCCTTTGTCTTACAGTTCTACTCAGGGTCAGACAGCGAGTCGGATTCCTAGCAATACAGCTAACACAATCAACAAGAAAAGACCTAAATCGTTTAATCCGTTTAGCGATAAAGAGGAAACCGTTGAGAAGGAGAGGAGAAGCAATTCTCCGTCGAAATCGTCTACAACGGCGGATAGCACGCCTATTAACGTGTCAGCGTCGACGTCGTCTGAGAATTCGCAGAAGAGAAACACAGTAGCAATAAATACAGAACAAAGTGAGATCGAAAAATTACCACCGATTGATACCGGGAATAATAAGTCTCCCAGTAAAGCACAGGTCAGGGAGGAGGTCGAAACAGAGGTGGTGAAAATAGATCCGATCGCTCCTACGGTGAAAAGGCAAGTCCCATTGCAAACAGAGCCTCAGAAGAGCATCGTGCACTGCCCGGGGCTAGAGAACACGAGGCAGAAGAGTGATGATGATTTGGATAGAATGAAGGAGGAGGCAAACGCGTTAGTAGCTAAATTGATGGCAGATGAAGAGAGTCACAGAGAGAAAACTGCCAGTATACCGCCTGCCATTGGTAACCAATCTTCCACAGTTCCACCCACGAATGGACAGGAGAAATGGTTTTACCGTGATCCGCAGGGTGAAGTTCAGGGTCCGTTCTTAGCAAGCGAAATGGCAGAATGGTGTAAAGCCGGTTACTTCACCGCGGGTTTGATGGTAAGGAGAACCTGTGACGATCGGTACACCACGTTAGGGGAGTTGATGAAAATCTGCGGTAGAATACCGTTTACGCCTGGGCTTTCTATTCCTCCTTTAAAGGTATTTTTCTATCATTTCTTTGTGTTTTGTTTAAGGAGAGCTTTCTATTTTTTTCATCTTACAAGAGTATCTTCTTTTTTTCAGTTAACGGATCAAGTAATTCCCTCTGTTTCTAACTCTGTACCTGCTGGCATATCCGCGTTACCAAAAGCTGGTATAGAAGACCCTCTTCTTCTGCTACAATATCAGCAAGTACGGTTACTGCAGAACCAACAATTACTTCTTAGGCAAATGCGGACATCAGCTATAGCGAAGCTTTCTCAATCCGAGCACTGGGCGACGTTGAGTCCTGTTGAACAGAATCAGTTGATTTTTCAATATGTTCTTCAAGACTCGGAAATCCCAGAGGTGCCAATCTCTACAAATCCATTCGTATCTCACCTTTCGTCTCAGGCTTCGAATCCTGTCATGCAGCTTTTCACCCAAATGCAACAGGTTCGTGCGATGCGTATGTCATTTTAAAATATTTGAGCATTCTCATTGTAACATTCTACAGGTATTATCTGTGATACAATTATTTACAGGCTAAAACGCAACCAGAGACTCATTTAGCGTCGAATCCACATTCTACCACACCTGCACACCCTCCTGCCATTGATCCTATACAGCAACTTATACAGCAGATGGGTGGTGTGCAGAACATACCTGGAATTCAACAGCCTAGTATAAATTCCACACCACCCACGACACAAGAAGACAATCCCATAAAATCCTTGTTACGGCAACTCAGTGTCAATGCCAATGGCCACCCACAAACGCCCCATATGGATACTGTTTGGCCGCAGCCACCGCCACAAATAAATCCACAATTTAATGCACAGAATTGGTTGGCACAGGTATATGTGCTGTACTGTACCATTAGTTAGAAACTAATTATTATAATAATTGTAGAAAGCAATAGTCCTTTAGTGTAACATGAATTTAACAGGTTGGACCAATACCCGCAGTACCTCCTGGCCAGTTGCCATCCTCGTTGTGGGATCTACACACTAAGGAAATTAAGACTGAACAGCAGATATTGGTGAGTGCTATGATGAAAATGAACACGTCGACTGCCACGCAAATAATGTTAATATATTAAAATGTTGATTACAGGAGGAACAAAATCTTAGGCTACAGGAAGACAGAAAGAAGGAGGAGTTGAGGAAGCAAGAGGAGTTACAGCGACAAGCCGAGGAAGAGAAGGAAAAGCGGAAAAAGGAAGAACAAGCCAGACAAGTCGAAGAAGCGAGACGGAAAGATGAGGAGCGGAAGAAGAAGGAAGAGGAGAAGAAACGAAAAGACGAGGAGAAGCGCAAGCAAGAGGAAGAACGAAAGAAGAAGGAGGAGAAGAAACGCAAGGAGGAGGAGAAGAAACGAGAGGAGAGGCGGAAACAAGAAGAAGAGAACTTGCGGAAGAAGTTGGAAGAAGAGAAGCGTAAGAAAGAAGAACTTAAAAAGCAGGAAGAGAAACAGAAGAAGGAGGAAGAGAAGCGGAAAAAATTGGAAGAAGAACAACGAAAACAGGAGGAAGAACGAATTCGGTATACAATATTATTATTTATTACAGTATTTATTAATTACATGTGTGTAAGTTATTTGTAAAATATCCATAAAACCATGTTTTCATTTCTGTAGAAAAGAAGCGGAAGCGCGCAAACAAGCTGAAGCGGAAGAGCAAGCCCGCCGAGCGGAACAAAGGCGACGAGAGGCGGAAGCGCTTCGTAAATTACAAGAAAGTACTAAAGCACCTTGGGCGCAAGCACCTCGTGCGTCAGCTCCTGCTACTCCTGCTACCTCCTTCGCAGATATCCAGAGACTTGAACGAGAGCAAAAAGCTGTGCGTGAGAATGACCTATAAAGTAATATTAATTGTGTAAACCAGTAGTGCACAATCAGTTTCATTGAATCTCCAAATCGTATCGCAGGTGCTACTACGGTTTGAACAACATATGCAGCAGCAGATCGCGGACCAGAAAGCTATGGTAGCAGCCCGGAAAGCGACGGAGGCTGATTCTTCCAAGCGATTGCAATTCAAGTGGGCAGAGAAGGCCACCGCCTCCAGCAAGCCATTACAAGTGAAGAATCTCGCGCAAATTCAACAGGAAGAACAGGAGCGCATCGCCAAGGTAAAGGTACTTATTACTCTTATTATATCTTTCTATATTCGAACCTCGTACAATCACTATCAATGGATTACAGAGTAAAATAACTGATAATTGCATGTTACTGATTATTATTGCTGACTCTCCAGCAGCAAGAGAGAGAACGACAGGAAAGGGCGGGCCAGAAAGAGTCGGCGAGCCTGTTGCAAAGCGCTGGGATTTGGGGCACTGCGTCCCAGTGCTTGAACTGGGCCAATTCGAGCACGTCCAGCGGTGGTCAAGCTTGGTCCACTAACAGCGGTACCAGTGGTTTTTGGGATGAACCCACACCAATAAAGTCTTCTACAACTACGAAGCAACCAACTAAGCTGGCCGCAACTGCTAAAGCGCCTGCTGTCAATCAGCAGCAACAGCAGAGCAACAAGGCGAACAAGAGCAAAAACAAGAGGGAGGAAGAGCTTGTGAAGAAATTATTCGAACAGAACACTGCCAAGATTGACGATTTCACGCAATGGTGTAACAAAGCTCTGAGCGGTTTACAGGTATCCGTAGATAGTAAGTAGAACCCGTTAGAATTTGGTTGTAACGAAACTGATACATATTTATGATATTCAAGCGATTTGACACCATAGTACTTGGTAGGGACTTGGTATTAAATTTCATTTGTTTGAGTTGGACTGATCAATACTTCATCTTCATAGTTCCTACGTTCGTTGGATTCTTGCGAGACATTGAGTCAGCGTACGAGGTGAAGGAGTATGTAAGAGACTACCTCGGTGATAACAAACAGAGTTCAGAATTCGCTAAGCAGTTTTTAGAGAAACGTAGCAAATGGCGGTCAGCCCAACGACCTCAGGCTCAGGCTGACGATCTTTGCAAGCCGGCACCGGCCGTTAATCCTAATGCGCCCACGGAATTTCAGGAAGTGAAGGTATTTATAGGAAGTCCGCGGAACTGAAACTACTTTCACAGCCATAGCACTACCAATAACAAAGTTATTAATTAATAGAAACTATTTTTCAGGGGAAGTCGAAGAAGCCAAAGAAAGGAAAAATGTACAAAGTTGATAATAGGATCCTTGGCTTCAGCGTGACCGCGGCGCCCGATCGTATCAACGTGGGTGATCGTGATTACGGTGAAGGTGTTTGAATTAATCCTGGAACGGTTTTGATTGACATCGTGGAAATCATGCTACGCTTGGCCTGACAAATACGGTTCGTTATTTATTTATTGTAGATGCCAAATCACAGTTCTAAGAAACCCTGTGCGAGTACCTCGGTAATACATTTACAAACATATATATATATACATATATTATATATATATATATATATATATATATTTACACATCATAAAATTTTTGTATGATTATGCATGGGCAAGGATAATTCTTGGTCTCTCAATCGTATTTTTTACTCGTGCATTAATGGGCGCCTTAGGACGACAATTTTCGCAGCGTGGCATTATTTCCATCTTAAAACAATACTGAAAGACACTTTGAGAAGGGAAACTCTGTTGTACATAACTCAAATGAAAAGGATTAATACTTCACGAACGTAAGGCGACACACTCATCTCCTACTTACCCTACACACACACACATACATACGCAACACACATTATTTGAACATTTTGTAATATTTCATCATTATTCGCCGTGAACAAAGATACTATGCCGATTGACAACTCGTACACGCGGAAACATAACAGTGAAAGCAGTATGTGTGTTCGTGATTGATAATTAGAACGGTATTACAGCGAGGAAATTAAAAATTTGTTAGATATGCGTGCACCTGATCGATGGAGGATTGATCGAGCTCAGTGTTTATGCTGGTGTGTATCGGTGATTTAACTATACGCACCGAGTATATTGTATGTATATATGAATCCTATGGATTTTTTTCTTTACCGCGACATCACGTTAACAGGACCTTTATCATGGGTAATATTGCGCTACTGTGTTTTTGGAGAACAATACTTTACGTTTGGTACGTTGAAAGTTTCTTTTCGACCAATTTACCAACCGTTTTTTAAGAGCAATTGAAATATTTTGAACGAATATAAGAGACGATTGTATTATATCACATAACCTAAAACAAAGTAAAAAAAAAACCGAATACTTATTAAAGAGAACCGTAACGTCTCAGTGGTAATTACGTTGCGGGGAAAACGAGAACCTTCTTGTACTTTCTTAACACTTTGAGAACACTGACTTGAAAGAAAATGAAAAAAAAATGAAAAAAAAAAATAGTACTTGCATGTCGAACGATTTATAAAGAGAACTATCGTTCATTCTTCTGTTTTGCTTCAGATTGAAAGAAAAGAATATGAAAGTAAGCTCGTGTAATATTTAGAAACCGTTGACTTTGAGAGACTTACATAGCGTATAAGAGAAGTTCCGGATCGATCACTGCGTGTGCCTACGTGTGGATCTCACTCTCGTCGGCATATACTTCTTATAATAATAACCGAGGTCAATCGAAACTGATAACCACTGAACGAAGAATTCATGTAAGATTTCATTAACGCAATATTTAGACAGCAGTATCTTTTGTAAAGTTTTAATTGTAAATGTACATGTTACATAAGAGTCCTCTGTCGGATATAAGAAGCATGTGGTGAAAATTTGTCGACACGTTTGGAAACATGTGATTTCTTTTTTCCATGGTTTTTTTTTTTAATTGGATTTGAGGAAAAGCAAAAACGAAAAAAAATATGGCACGAATATTCTTCATAAGCGCGGGAAATGTTACGACGAATCTAACCGTTCTTAATAATTATAATGGTTGTTAATAAGGTTCGATGATCTTCTCCTTAGAGAAAAGAAATTAAAATCTTTAGGAAAAGATCATAGATTCTTACGTGAAAGATTTATGTATAAATAGATAAATGTACAGTAATACAAGGATAATTAACTAGGCAAATCCAGATAATTGATATTGTATTAATATTATTATTATTATTATTGTATCTAACGTACAACATAATAAAAATAAATATTATTATATTTTCAATTTAGCCTTTCCATTTTTTTCTTAATTTGTTAAAAATGTGTACATTCGAAAGGTAATTTGTAAACTGTCTTGAAATGAGTAATTTCGCTTAAAAATATTCTAGAACTTATAACTCAGTGGTTATGAAAGAAAATGTAAACCAAAGTCATATTACACACACGCGCATACACACACATACATACAGGTACATTCATGTGTATGATTAATTTATCACAGTATTCTCGGCGCGTTAAGTTCAAAATATCGCATGAACTATATTATAAACAAATAAACACACATCATAAATTGTAAATGCGAGCGATTCCTATACATAACATAGGTATTTTTTAATGTCAATGATGCAATATATTTTACATGTGAATAAGCGTTGCGGCTAATTATAATTATGAACTGTTATGATATTATACGAACACACCAATTCATACGATGTTACCTATCATAATAAAAAAGTCTCTAAAAAAACGTATGAAAATATTTTTAACGAATGGTATGATTGAAATGTGTTTGTGATAATAAGAGTGTGACAATAAAAAATGCTTTTTAACGTTTGCTTTTCGCGAACAATTGTATTTGTACTTTGGACACTGTATTTGTTCATTGGTTTTTTTTTGTAGATACACGTTTATACAAGATAAAAATATTTCATCAAAAAAGTATACTTGCAAACATTCATTTCATGGAAAGATGTATTAAAAGTAATACTATCGATGATTCGTTGGTAGGAATGCTTGGTAAAAAATGCATGAGATGATCTAAATCTTGTTTTGAATCTTGCGGAAGAAACGTTACTCTTCCTTTCCTTCGCCCTGAGTATGAACAACGTTTATCTCTGTGTAATCTTTTGCAATGTCAATGTACTGGAAACATTTAATCGTCATCAGATAAAAGAATCGTTCGATTAGATAATTTGTAAAACTCACCTTTCTTGGAACAAGAACTTCTAAAATTTGTAAAATAATGTGACACAACGATACAACAAGCAAGTATGCTAGTACTCCGCTCCGAATGTAACTTGTCAATTGTTCACCTAAATTCTTACTATGTTCTTCTTTTACTAAATTGTACACTATCTCAGTTCTTCTAGTTATGTTAAACCAGTTGTAGAACAAACTTATCCTCTTGTGTATCTTAAAAGGACACCTAGTATTGCCTTCTCTGTAATCCTTTATAGCAGACTTCAGCCCTTCGATAAGAGCGGATACCGTAGGATCTACGAGATAAATTAAATCCGGAGGTAGTACTTCAGGTATACCTCCAACTTTCGTCGAGACGACTTGGAGACTGCAATTAATGAAAACATCGGTAAAAAATTACATGTGATCTGACGTTGACTTGAATCTAAGTTTGATACTTTACCCGCATGAAGCAGCTTCGACGATTGCCATGCAATAAGCTTCCGTGAGGCTGGTATTCAAAAAGATATGACCCTTATTCAAGACATGCTTGATCTCAGAGTGCTCCACACTTCCAAGTAACGTCACCCTATGTTGCAATAAGTTTCTTTCTCGCACCTCTTCTATCAGCCATCTCTTAGGACCGTCTCCAGCGATCAAAAACTGCACGTCCTCGTATTGACTACAAATATTGGGTATAATGCGAGCTAATAAATCGACGCCTTTGCGATACACTAGTCGCGACACTATGACTATTGTAACTATAATTAATAATGCGCAATATTAATAATATATTCTGTGGTTAATTTAAGCCATTTTAAACAAATGCAAGTACAGCAAGTCCTCAAATTATGCAGAGATGGGCAAACATTTATTTACTTATGTGAAAGCTTTGGAATGCCTTAGGAGCATAGTGAAGGACTCCCTGTACAGAAGAAAACTTACTTGAACTATTGTCTCGTTTACTGATATCTGGCATAAATAATGTAGTATCAACTGCATTTGGTATAACAGAGACTTTCTCTTTTTGGACTTTAGCTCTTAATACTGTATTCTCCTTTCCTATATGCGATACACATATACAATGATTGCAATCAGCTAATGATATCTCCAGAAATTTATTTGTTAAGATCGCGGATGCGTCAGCAAAGCCAAAGAGCGAGTGATCTGTAAAAATAGTCTGAAACTCCAAACATAAATATGATATGAACTTAATATGTTGAATGTTTTATTTTTTAGGCAACAATCGACTTACTTTCAATCCCATTAATCGACCAATTAGCATTCCTTCATGAGCAAGAGCAGAAAATGCGGAATGACCATGTACTATTTGAATTTTTTCTCTTATAAAGATATATCTAATGAGGGGAATGGAACAAATTATCGTAGGAAGAACACATTGATTATAAAAAACCTTCACTGGTATGTAATACACCTTAAATAAGAGAATATAATGTTAAAATAAATGCAGGCATTCTCTATTTTATAAGGTATATATGGTACATACTTTCAGGCCATTTGTCATATAACGTATTCCTATTCTACTTCCATAAGAATGTGTGAGCACCACAACCTTATGTCCACGATCCAGTAAACACTGGGACAAATTAAAAATATGCTCCTCCACGCCACCCATGTTGGGATAGAAAAAGTCAGAAACCATGCTGCAAAAATGTGAAATGTTACAAATTTTGTGAATATCAAATGAAAGTATACACGACCAAAACTATTACTTATTAATAGATTACTAACCATATTTTATGCTTCATAGTAGTCATCTTTACATCTGTACAGCAGCATGACTTATATGACAAGATAATACATACTACATTTAATGTAATCAAGAATGATCAGAAATTAATAATTATCGATAATCTGGTCATAGTTCATACCTCACGGGCGTCTTTTATTTACATGTAAATTCTCTCTTAGAGTCTTGGAAGAATTGATCCTATTTCTGTGTTTAAAGAAATTCGAAATCGAAAAACTTTAGGCACTCATAAAAAATCGGAAGAGGTTAGGTAACAACTATTTACATTCTCCACGCTACGTACATAAATTATCGTTTTTTATTGTCTTTGATATAATAAAAGAATTCAAGAACTTCATTTTTTTTCTTCGTTTTTGTTACTATTGCATACTTTTAGCATTAATATATTGATTATAATAACGATGAATTCATTGTTTTCAGGTGGAGCAACGAAACATTTAAATCGCAGCCAATCGAATCACACTCGATTCAACTTTCCATCAAAATCGATGATCTCGAAGTTCAGTAATGGATGGAGGGAAATTCGAATCCTTTTTCCCTCAATTGCATCCCTACTTTGTTCAAATAGTAAGTACGTTATTTGCATATTAAAAATACACTACATATAGTTAAACAAGTATATAAACCGTCAACCAATTTTTAAAATCGTACTGATACAAAAACATAAGTTTCGAGATAAAATAAAGAATTGTGCCATCCCTTCGAGTGTCATGTGCCCCTGATACCAAAATACAAAATCGGCCAGAATTCTATACGTCCAGAAAATGTGCCCCTTGAATTAGGCAACCTATACTTATAGATCTGTCGGGCCGGTTGCCTACTCGTAGGCGCAAACGTACAACCTCTTTGCATATCATGTTTTCCTGTTGCCACAACAAAGATTCTGTAAAAATCAGACATTTCCCATCACAATTTTAAACGGAGCGATGTGCACCATTGTCGAACTTGACGCTGCTCAAAATTCAACAAAGTTACAGGGCACCCTATAATTTCCGTTCATTTCCTTACACATTTCCCTGTAATTTCCTTCCATTTCCTGGTATTATTCCCGTTATATTCCCTCAATTTCCTGGTATAGTTCCCTTTAATTTCCCTTCATTTCCTGGTACATTTCCCCTTCAATTCCCTTCATTTGCTTACACGTTTCCCTTTAATTTCCCTCCATTTCC